TAATGTTTTCTATTATTACTACTAGGCCAGATTTAGCTTATGCTATAAGTTTCCTAAATAGATTTATGTCTAATCCTGCAAAACCTCATTGGGCTAGGTTAAATTGGCTTTTGAGTTATATAGCTGAGACATTGAGTACGTGATTAGTGTTTGAAAAGAGATCCGAACAGCTAACTTTTAAGAGATATTAGACTTCAATTTTGCTGGTGACAACGACTTAATTTTGTTGGTGACAATGACCAAAGAAAGTCTACTACTGCCTATTTCTTTACACTTGAAGATAATTGCATCACATGGAAGTTATTACAACTTCAATCCATTGTCACTTTATCCAAAACTAAAGTTGAATATGTGGCAATCACTGAATTTGTAAAAGAGTGTGTATGTTTAAAAGGAATTTTAAGTGAATTGAATTTTTTGCATGAATCACCCGTTATTACTGATAGTCAAAGTGCTTCACCTTTGAGTAAGAATTCATCATGAAAGGTCTAAATACATTAAGGTGAAGTACCATTTCATAAAGGAAAATTTATCTTCTCATAATCTTATTCTTGAAAAAATTTATACTCATGTTAATCCATCTAATATAGGTACTAAAATTCTTCCTGTGACTAAATTTAGATCATGTTTATCTCTTATCCATATTGGGACTAGTTAATCTTTTGCAGGTACTTGGACGATGATGTAGGGTAAATTACTGTCACATGCAATGTAGCAACTAGAGAGAGCGAGAGGTTTGAGAACTAAGGTGAAGATTGTAAAAGGTGGTTCTAAAACCCATTTTTGAAAGTGAAAAAACGTTTTCTCAACTGAGTGTCCACTTGGGGAGATTTTATTGGCAACTTAAGTGATCGGATCTGTGTTTTCTTCGGATAGATCTGGTGCGTTTGTTTTAATCAATGACTGAAAATGTGTTTCTCTCTTACTTGATAATCTGAATGGCTATTCTCATTCAGATTGGGTTTTTCTTGTAGTGGTAGTTTCTCTAGTTTTCTCGAGGGTTTCGTCTCTCTTTCTTTTCTTCTTTGGTTGTAACCTCTTTTTTCAGTTTGTAAATTAGAATCTGAGCCTGTAGATCGGTTGTTACCTATCTCCATTCGAAGTCGGTAAACCTGCGTAGTGAAGGCAGTGAAGTGGGTTTTTTTTTCTTATTCTTGTTTAGCATAGGCTGAAATCGGAGATCCTTTTGGATCGATGATTGTGTGTGGTCTGAGTCTTGGTTGTACTGATCTTTAATTCTATCTCGAAAGGTTCTTGCATAGTGACAAACTCTTTTACCTCTGAGCCCAAGATTAGGCTTGGCTGAATTGGGTGAACATTTCTTGATGGTTTTTACTGTTTTAGTGTGTGCTTGATTCGGTATTTTATAGTTTAGTATTTCTTGGGTGTGAAAATCCCAACAATGTCTCCTCTCTACCATCCCAACTATATATACAAAGAAAGAATAATGTACTGAGTTCCTATTTGAGTTCTATTTTCTTAAAATTAATTTTATAAAAAATAAATTTTTTTTTAAAAAAAATGAATTATTGAAAAGTAGGAAAATTATTTTTAATTTATATTTAAAATTATTGTTTTAGAAGAATGTGTGATTGAATATAAATTTACAAAAAAAATGAATTTTAAAAAATGGATCTCAAACATGGACTAAACATGAATATTTATACTATCAATAATAGCATGTCATATCAATTAATTGATACTATCATTCTTTACATCATGTCACGTGGAGACACACATTGGACAGTTTTAAAAAAACATATACTTTTCCACCAACAATTTTTTTGAAAACAATAGTGACAAAAGTAATGTCAAACTTTAAGCATATATTTAACATTGTTGTTAAAATAAATTGATCTGTCATGTAATATATATATATATATATATTAGGTGCGAGCAACGTGCAATGCATGTTTGCGTAGTTTATATTTAATAGTTTTGTTTGAGAGTTAATTTGTTATTAATAAAGATGTAATTTTTTTGGTTAATTAAATAATTAATGATGTAATATTTATGTAATTGATAAATAATTAGATGTGTGATTTTGATGTTGTGATGTAAGTTGGTGAGATCGAAGAAAATAAGTAAAA